GCCCTTCCTGGAACGCTTCTGTTGGCAGGCAGGGCTTGCCTTGCAAAATAAACCACAATGGGTGCCTGGTGGGAGCTCCTTGTCAGGATCTCATGCTGGTGGAGCAAGAGAAAATCTACAACTGGCCAGGCGTGGGTGGCTCTACGGCCTGTAATCCAGGCACTTTGGGGGTCTGAGGTGGGTGGGATACTTCGAGGTCGGAGTTCACAGACAGCCTGGCCACATGGTGAAACCCTGTCTCTACAAAAATACAAAAATTAGCCAGGCGTCGGTGGTGGGCGCCTGTAATCCCAGCTACTCAAGAGGCTGAGGTCGGGAGAATCGCTTGAACCCAGGAGGCCGAAGGCTTGCATTGCAGTGAGCCCGAGATCATGCCAACAGCACTCTAGCCTGGGTGACGAGCAAGAAACTCCTGTCTCAAAACCCCAAGGGAATGCTCTTTGCTGAAGGTAAGGAAGCGGGCACTCCCTGTGTTCTCCAGACACCTTAATGAAATCTTGCAGACGCAAGGGATATAAAGTAAATGAAATAGTAAATATCTATTATTTATTCAAAGGCCTGGTGCCTTTGAGGGGACCGGCCTAAGGAGATGTATGCTTGCAATCTGTGAGATCCTAAGCCCGTTCTGCGGTTGGCATTCAGTTTCAGCCTTGAATCCTGTGGGGTAAAATAAAGGGCATAAAGCAAAGAACAAAAGTTTGAGGCCCAGGAGGTCGAAGCTGCCGTGAGCGGTGATTGTGTCACTGCTGCACTCTAGCCCGGGCAACAGAATGAGACCCCCATCTCTTAAAAAAGAAAAAAAAAAAGGGCCAGGGACGGTGGCTCATGCCTGTAATCCCAGCACTTTGGAAGGACGAGACAGGCAGATCACCTGAGGTCAGGAGTTCAAGACCAGCCTGGCCGACATGGTGAAGCCCTGTCTCTACTAAAAATACAAAAAATTAGCCAGGCGTGGTGGCAGGTGTCAGTAATCCCAGGTACTTGGGAGGCTGAGGTGGGAGAATCGCTTGAACCTGGGAGGCAGAGGGTGCAGTGCGCTGAGATCATACCCCATTGCACTCCAGCCTGGGCAACAAGAGTGAAACTCCGTCTCAAAAAAAAAAAAAAAAAAAAAAAAAAAAAAGAAAGAAAGAAAAAAAGAAACTGGCTTCCATTGGCTCCCATGCAGGTGCAAGCTTTGCTCTCAGCCAGCCCACACCCCAATGGCCACTAAAAGGCGGGATGTGGTGACCGCAGGTGGATGTCCTGTCAGCTGAGGCTGCTGCCTGCCTGGTGCTGGGTCAACATAATGGAAGCATGAGAGTCATTACCCCATTTGGAGGCCGAAAGCATAGAATACTCAGGTCCCACAGTGTGCTAACGGTTGGGATCCCAACCCAGTTTATGCACCTTCTGGGCTCTCTCGACTGGCTTATGTGGCCACCTGCAGACAGCAGGGCCATCCTCTCAGGAAATTGCATGCCCTGCTGCAGACGGCTTCTCTGCAAACTCACAGTGGCAAAGGCGGGAGCAAGCTTTGCTCTGCAAGCCAGACAGGCACGGGGAGGAGACGGAGGATGGCACGTTTGCGGGTGGAAAATTAGATGCCTCGAGGAAGGAGCGCTCCTGGGAAGCTGCCCCGTGTGTTGGGAAGCTGGCCGTGCCTGGGCCACAGTGCAGACAGCGGCCAGGGGTGTTATTGATTGGCATTTAGTGATGGCTGGGGGGTGAGCTACCAGACAGCATTGTGGTTTTAGTGGCCGATGCAAATTAGGAAGACTGCAGGCCCCGCCTGGGTCGTGGGAGTAGGGGGAGGCGGTTGTTGCACTTGTAAGCAGGGTCTTGCTGGGGGACTCACAGGATGAAGGCGCGGGGTTTCTGGAGCCGACTGAGGGACTGGAGAAGCCTACGGGGGTCCTCGCCCTGCCAGGGCAATCCTTTGATGCTCTTGATCATTTGGTTATGCAAATCGCTGAGGGGAGGGGTGGGGAGGGCGCAGTGACAGAAAGAAGATGGAGTTAGAAGCATGCCTGCCACCTTGGGGTTCCCAGAGCCATTGGGACCGTCCCCAGGCCACTGAAGCTAAAACATGCAGCTGGGGAAAGACACTGAGCTCAATGCTGCCCCTCTCTCTTCTGCCAGAAAGGGGGACTGGGTCAGCCTCCCCAAGACCTGCAGTGGGGTAGGGCTTTGAGGCAAATTGGACTTGCACACGGATCATTGATCCTTTTCAATATATCATTTCCAGCTGGGCGCCGTGGCTCACGCCTATAATCCCATCACTTTGCGAGGCTGAGATGGGTGGATCACCTGAGGTCAGGAGTTCGAGACCAGCCTGGCCAACATGGCGAAACCCTGTCTCTGCTAAAAATACAAAAAGTTAGCGGGGCATGGTGGAGGGCACCTGTAATCCCAGCTACGTGGGAGGCTGAGGCAGGAGAATTACTTGAACCCAGGAGGCAGAGGTTGCAGTGAGCTGAGATAGCGCCATTGCACTCCAGCCTGGGAGACAGAGCAACACTCTGTCTTTTAAAAAAAAAAAAGAAAAAAAAAATTATTTCCATCTGATCATTCCACTTCATTGGATCCTTTTCATCTGGATCACTGAGAAAGTTCTCATATTTAAGAGGCTTTGGGGATATTTATTTACTTGTTGAGACGGAGTCTCGCTCTTTCTCCCAGGCTGGAGCGCAATGGTGTGATCTCAGCTCACTGCAACCCTACCTCCTGGGTTCAAGTGATTCTCCTGCCTCAGCCTCCTAAATAGCTAGGATTACAGGTGCGCACCACCATGCCCAGCTAATTTTTGTATTTTTAGTAGAAATGGGGTTTCATCATGTTGGTCAGGGAGGTCTTGAACTCCTAACCTTGTGATCCGCCCACCTCAGCCTTCCAAAGTGCTGGGATAACAGGTGTGAGCCACTGCATCCAGCCGGGGATATTTATTTAGTTTTAAATTTATTTTTATTTTATTTTATTGAGACAGAGTCTCGCTCTGTTGCCCAGGCTGGAGTGCAGTGGTGCGATCTCAGCTCACTGCAACCTCCACTTTTTGGGTTCAAGTGATTCTCCTGTCTCAGCCTCCTGAGTAGCTGGGATTACAGACATGCATCACCCTGCCCAGCCTATTTATTTTTAAAATTCCATGACAGGCTGGGCATGGCTCATACCTGTAATCCCAGCACTTTCGGAGGCTGAGTGGGGCAGATCACCTGAGGTAGGGAGTTCAAGACCAGCCTGGCCAACATGGTGAAACCCTGTCTCTACTAAAAACACAAAAATTAGCCGGGCATGATGGCACATGCCTGTAGTCCCAGTCACTCCAGAGGCTGACGCATGACAATCGCTTGAACCTGGGAGGCAGAGGTTGCACTGAGCCGAGATCGCGCCACTGCACTCCAGCCTGGGTAACAGAGTAAGACTCTGTCTCAAAAAAAAAAAAAAAAAATAAAAAAGGCAGTTGGGGAAACTCAGAAAAGAAGACCCTAAGGAGGGTCTCTGTGGGAGGAGCAAATTAGTCTCTCTCCATGTTTTTGTGGCCAGATGTCAAACTCCTTGTTGGCTTCATTAAGGCCTTTGGAGGAATTAATTTGAATACAACAGCCACAGGTTGAGCACAGCAACTGGGGTGGTACCATCTCCATCAGGGGACATTTGCCAATGTCTGCAGACATTTGTGGTTGTCATGACTTGGGGGTGGGGGTGCTCTCCTGGCATCTGGTGGGTGGAGGCCAGGGATGCTGCTCAACACCCTATAGTCCACAGGACGGGTGCCACCCCAGAGAATGATCTGGCACAGTGCTGAGGCTGAGAAACCCTAGTTTTTTTTTTTTTTTTTTTTAACAGAGTCTTGCTATGTTGCCCAGGCTGGAATGCAGTGGTGCGATCTCGGCTCACTGTAAACCCTGCCTCCCAGGTTCAAGTGATTCTCCTGCCTCAGCCTCCCGAGTAGCTAGGATTACAGGTGCACACCACGCCTGGCTAATTTTTGTATTTTTAGTAGACACAGGGTTTCACCATGTTGGCCAGGGTGGTCTTGAACTGCCGACCTCAAATGACCTGCCCACATAGGCCTCCCCCAAGTGCTGGGATTACAGGGGGTGAGCGACCGCACCCGGCCAGAGAAACCCTAGTTTAAGGGGGTAATTACCCTCAAAGCACTCAACCTTACTCGCTTCATTTTGTTTGATGGCTGTGGGCTTAGGCTTGAGCATGCACGCTAGAGGTGCAAACTTTGGCACTGATAACGTGTGTGAATTAGAATGCCTTAGAAATGAAAATTGGATACTTTCAAACTAAATATTAGTGAGGAATGTCTAAATTACAAATGTTTTTGACAGAACTTCTAGAAATGAGGATCTCGTTTTTCCTGGTTTTTTTTTTTTTTTTGAATTCCTTACTCCAGACTTTTTATTTATTTTTTCTTGTAGAGGTGGGGTCTTGTTATGTTGTCCAAGCTGGTTTCAAACTCTTGGCCTCAAGTGATCCTCCCGCCTTGGCCTCCCAAAGTGCTGGGATTACAGGTGCGTGCTACCGCGTCCTGCTGGCAGTCGTTCAAAGCACATGTTTTAGCTCTGGGCAGGTGGCCTGGAAGGACCCAACCCCAGCCCCTGTGCTCCATGCACCATGCCAAGTGTCCACATGGCCCCACTTACCTGTTTTCCCCAGCCCTCCAGGGAGGCAGAGCAAAGGCAACAGAGGGGTCGCCTGTCACCTCTATATGCGAGTGGCCTTCATACCCAGGGTGGTCAGTGCAGCGGCCACGGCTTGGAATGATGTCCATGACTTTGGCCCACCCCTAGCCCTGCCGACCCGGCTAAATCTGCAAATCTGGCAGGAGTGGCCCCTGTGGGCCGTGGCATTCCCTGAATGGCCAGTCCTCTCTGTCTGTGCCCTGGACGCAGCACTGAGCGCCTGGGGAAGATGGCTCCCCTTGGTGCCTTGCTGGCCTCGGGATGAAAGGTCCTTTCTGCACTTACTTCTTGCTTTCATATAAAGCAATGATGTCCTCAAAAGCGTTAATATCGAACTCCTCAGAGCCGTCAAATGAGAAATCTAGCATTGAACAGCTGAAAGGGAGAATCTGTATAAACTTAACATGCTCCTGGGGTGGGACCCGCAGCCCTGTGGCCAGGCCCTGGGGAGATGGATGCTGCTTCTGCTACCGCAGGTCAGAAGTTACTTTGTCTTTGAGGTAAGGGAGGCAAGGAAAAAAACAAATGAGGACTGGGTGTGGTGGCTCATGCCTATAATCCCATCACTTTGGGAGGCTGAGGTGGGAGGATGCCTTGAGGCCAGGAGTTCCAGACTAGCCTGAGCAACATAATCAGACTCCGTCTTTATAAAAGGAAAAATTAGCCAGGCGTGGTGGCCTGTGCCTGTTGTCCCAGCTACTTGGGAGGCTGAGGCGGGGGGATTGCTTGAGTCCAGGAGGTTGAGGCTGCAGTGAGCTGTGATTATACCACTGCACTCCAGCCTGGTCTCAAGCAAAACAAAACAAAACAAAATAAAACAAAAAAGCAACCCATACAACAAAATAGAAGGAAGCTTTCTAGCTCTTGGGAACTTGGGGGACCCCCCCAAAAAAAAACAAACATAATAGAGGAATGCATTCTCCTTTCTTGCGTCCCATTTTGGGTGAAAAAGCTGATTCCTAAAACTTTTATATATTTATTTTTTTTGAGACAGAGTCTTGCTCTGTCACCCAGGCTGGAGTGCAGTGGTGCGATCTCGGCTCACTGCAACCTCCATCTCCCGCGTTCAAGCAATTCTCCTGCCTCAGCCTCCCGTGTAGCCGGGACTACAGGTGCCCGCCACCATGCCCGGCTAATTTTTGTATTTTTAGTAGAGACGGGGTTTCACCATGTTGGCCAGGCTGGTCTTGAATGCCTGACCTCAAGTGATCTGCTCGCCTTGGCCTCCCAAAGTGCTGGAATTACAGGCGTGCACCATCATGTCCAGCCAGCCTGCTCACTTTTCTACCCTGGTGCTGTCACATGCTTGGGTGCACGCAGGGCCCTTGGGGTCACTGCTAGGGTCCACAAAAGACCCCGCATCATCTCATGTGCAACATCAAAGTGTATGTGTTTCTGACTGTGAATGAAGTAACTGGGCAGAACAACTTTTGGGCCACCCCAGGCAGGACAAGGGAAGAACTCTCCAATCAATCAAGCCCGTCTCTCCGCACCACCAGCGATACTTAGGCTTCACCTCCCAGTGCCCACCCTAGGCCATAAAATGGATCCTTTGTAAACTGAGTCTCCTCCCATCTCCCTAAAGTGCATGATGTACCAAGGCGTGCTATTCTGTGTCCAGAAAAGCAGCCACCAAATGCTACTTGGTTCTGGGTCTTTCTGGTTCAAAAGGCAGCTCAGTGACTTACTCAGAGCAACCCTGACCTGGGTTTAGAATGTAGCATTCCCCGGTGGCTCACGCCTGTAATCCCAGCACTTTGGGAGGCCAAGGCAGGTGGATCACCTGAAGTCAGGAGTTCAAGACCAGCCTGACCAACATGGAGAAACCCCGTCTCTACTAAAAATACAAAATTAGGCCGGGTGCGGTAGCTCACGCCTGTAATCACAGCACTTTGGGAGGCTGAGGTGGGTGGATCACGAGGTCAGGAGATCGAGACCATCCTGGCCAACAGGGTGAAACCTCGTCCTACAAAAAAAAATAAAAAAAAAAAAAAAAAAATTAGCCGGGCGTGGTGGCAGGCCGCCGTGTAGTCAAGCAGCTACTGGGAGGCCGAGGCAGTGAGAATGGCGTGAATCTGGGAGCAGAGCTTGCAGTCATCAGAGATTGCGCCACCGCACTCCAGCCTGGGCAACAGAGCAAGGACTCTGTCCTCAACAACAAACAACAAACAAACAAACAAACAAAAATTTGCTGGGCATCATGCAGTGTGCCTGTAATCACAGTCTGCTCGGGGGAGCTGGAGTAGGAGAATCGGTTGAACCCGGAGAGGTGGAGTTGCAGTGAGCCAAGATCGTGCCATTGTACTCCAGCCTGGGCAACAAGAAGCGAAACTCCGTCTCAAAAAAAAAAAAAAAAAAGAATGTAGCATTCCCTAAGTTTGTTTGAACAACAATGCGGCTCCACCCTGCCTAATGATCCCAGTGGGTGGGCAAATCACCGGTCCTTGCTCACCGGTGATAAGTTTTTTCTGAAGGGGTGCTGGGCTCCTCTGGCAGCTCTTCAGGGTGACTCTGGGCACCAGGGCTGCTCATACCTGCTGGCAGACCAACAGAAGTGGACGGTGGTTGGGATGGCCCTCCTGTGGAGGCTGCAATTATTTTAACCCATTTTTATTATTTATTTGAGATGGAGTCTTGCTCTGTTACCCAGTCTGAGCAACAGTGGCGTGATCTTGGCCCACTGCAACTTGTGGCTCCTGAGTTCAAGTGATTCTCCTGTCTCCGCCTCCTGAGTAGCTAGGACTACAGCCCACTGTGCCCAGCTAATTTTGTATTTCCAGTAGAGACAGGGTTTCGCCATGTTGCCAGGCTGGTCTTGAACTCCTGACCTCAGGTGATCTGCCCACCTTGGCCTCCAAAAATCCTGGGATTATAGGCAATGAGGCTCTGCGAAACCCCCCAACATTTTTTTTTTTTATTGTTACCGACAGGGTCTTGCTGCATTGCTGCTAGGCGAGTGCAGTGGTTGCGACCATACTCATGTAACCTCCAACTCCTGGGCTCAAGCAATCCTCCTGCCTCAGCCCTCCCAAGTAGCTGGCGCTAGAGGCACATGCTGACACACATGACGAAGTTCAACTTTTCTGGAGAGATGGGTCTCACTATGTGGCCAGGCTGGTCTCAAATAGCTGGCCTCAAGTGAGCTGCCTTGGTCTCCTAAAGTGCTAAGACTACCAGTGTGTACCATTGTACCCAGACACTTCGACCCATCTTATTATTCATTTATTTATTTTTATTTACTTTTACTTTTTGAGACAGAGTCTTGCACTGTCGCCTGAGCTGGAGTGCAGTGGCACGGTCTCGGCTCACTGTGACCTCCGCCTCCCAGGTTTAAGTGATTCTCCTGCCTCAGCCTCCTGAATAGCTGGGATTACAGGCGCCTGCCATCATGCCTGGCTAATTTTTTGTATTTTTAGTAGAGACGGGTTTCACTATGTTGGCCAGGCTGGTCTCAACCGTCTGACCTAGTGGTCTACCCACCTCGCAAAAGTGCTGGGATTACAGCGTGAGCCACCGCGTCCAGCCTATTTATTTATTTTTTGAGACGGAGTCTTGCTCTGTCATCCAGGCTGGAGTGCACTGGCATGATCTTGGCTCACTACAACCTCCGCCTCCTGGGTTCAAGCGATTCTCCTACCTCAGCCTCCCTGTGGTAGCTGGGACCACAGGCATGTACTACCATGCCTGGCTAATATTTGCATTTTTAGTACAGATGGGGTTTCACCATGTTGGTCAGGCTGGTCTTGAACTCCTGACTTCAAGCGATCGTCTGCATCAGCCTCCCAAAGTGCTGGGATTTCAAGCGTGAGCCACTGTGTCTAGTAGACCGATCTTAAAAAGCAGCTCATTGGCCAGGCTCACGCCTGAAATCCCAGCACTTTGGGAGGCTGAGGCGGGCAGATCACGAGGTCAGGAGATCAAGACCATCCTGGCTAAAACAGTGAAACCCCTTCTCTACTAAAAATAAAAAAAATTAGCCGGGTGTGGTGGCAGGTGCCTGTAGTCCCAGCTACTCTGGAGGCTGAGGCAGGAGAACGGCATGAACCCGGGAGGCGGAGCTTGCAGTGAGCCAAGATTGCACCACTGCACTCCAGCCTGGGCAACAGAGTGAGACTCCGTCTCCACACACACACACACACACACAAAAAGCAGCTCATCACTCAAATGTGGGCAAAATCGGGTTAACTGTGAAGTTTTGGATCCCCAAAACAGAACACTGTCTATTTCCTATTTCTCATGACAGCTTTATCCTTCCTCCTTTTCATCAAGCCCCTTCCGGAGACAGAAGCCACAGCTGATAACTGAAACTGAAGCTGAGGACGGAAAGTCGGAGCCCTTAGACCCGGGTGAGCCACTCAACCATGCAGGCCTCAGGTTGCTTTGGGAAAAATGAGGACATAGCTTTCTGCCGTCCTTCTATCAGCAACTCTATAGGGCTGACCCAAGTCTTCAGTGGATCAGGCACACCTCCTGCTTCAAACCATCTCTGTCTAGGACAGGGGAACAGAAATGTCCCTTTGAGGCTGGGTTCCCGGTAGAGAATGTCCAGATAAGAGAAGAGGCTGAGGCCGGGCGCGGTGGCTCACACCTGTAATCCCAGCACTTCATGAGTCAGAGGCAGGCGCATCACTTGAGGTCAGGAGTTCGAGACCAGGCTGGCCAACATGGCGAAACCCCATCTCTACTAAAAACACAAAAATTAGCCTGGTGCGGTCGCCTGTAGTCCCAGTTACTTGGAAGGCTGAAGCAGGAGAATCACTTGAACCGAAGAGGCGGAGGTTGCAGTGAGCCAAGATTGCGTCATTACACTAGTGCCTAGGCAAGAGAGAGAGACCCTGTCTCTTAAAAAACAAAGAGAGCAAGAGAGAGAGAGAGAGAGGGAGAGAAAGAAGAGGGAGGGCACTAGGAAGAGTTACATTATCACAATCAGCAAACTCCCAGGGCCAGCAGATCAGGAGGCATCATTAGCAAAGGAGAGGCTGGATGGAGCTGCTGAGAGCATGCCCTGAGGTTAAATTACACTCGCAGGTCGAGTTTCTGTTCAGGGTGATGGGAACACTGCAGGTAGACAGGTGGCGTTTGCACAACATAATGTATGTACTAAATGCCAATGAACTGTTCACTTTAAGACGAACTCAGGATGTGCCCCCCTCTCGACAGTGACGCTTGTGTGGGCTCACGCCCCAGCTCCCACCTGCAGCCTTTTCGGCCCTCTCGGCCCGCAGGCGTCCGGCCTCCCGAAGCACGGCCATGGCCCGGAGAGCGGCCCGGAGCACGGCCCAGCGGAACACGGCCACAGGGTCCATGCCAATGAGCTCCCGCACGTAGGAGCTGTCACTGCCCCGCAGCAGGGCCACGATGTCTGGCCGCATGTAGTCCATGTTCTTCTCCCGGAAGTCCTGGTGGGGGATGGATGTGGGCGGTTACTCAGGGATAGTCACCAGTGCCTACCAAAGACCCGGGGCTGGCGCAGGAAGGGCTGGTGGTGGGGTGGGGTCCATCCTAAGCGCAAATGGCAGTTCTTGAGCTATGGAGTCTTGGGCATTGGAGCTGGGGATTCGCGGTGGGTTCTGAGCACCCTAGAACTTTGGCCACAGGAGGATCCTCCCACGTGGAATTCTGGGCTGACTATGGCTTCCCTCAGGCTTCCGCCAACGGTGATGGGCAGACACCTACCTTGATCTGATATTTCACCTTCCCTGCGAAGTGCTGGATGATGAAGGCTGGCTCCATGACCGGGGTGCCCAGGAAGTACTTATTGTCCTCATGCTGCTGTTTGAACTTGGCCAGCAGGGTCTGGCTCGTGGCGTGGGGGAAGCTGGGAACAGAACACGGAACCTTTGCAGGCATGAACAGCGGCTGATTTACCTGCTGTGTATTTTACCTTGCAGACCCCTGGTGCGCAAGGTGGGTGGGTGCATGGGGTGGGCAGAGCAGTGAATTGGCACAGGGCTCTGTGAGCAGAGGGGTGGGTGAAGGAGTGAAGAAAAGAAGGAATGACAGTGAGCCTGCCTGCCTCATGCCAAACATGCCGGCGGAGGGCTGGGACGCTGCTATCTGCGTGCGCCTGCCTGCCTCATGTTGAACACGCTGGCGGAGGGCTGGGACTCTGCTCTCTGCGTCAGCAGGCGCAGCCGCAGCCTGGTACAAGGAGGCTGAGGGTGAAGTGATGCTCTCAAGGCTTCAGGATTTTTAAAACAAAAACATATTTTTTCCTCTGGAGACAGGGTCTCACTCTGTTGCCCAGGCTGGAGTGTAGTGGTACAATCACAGCTCACTGTGGCCTTGACTTCCTGGGCTTGAGGGATCTTCCTGCCTCAGCTTCCTGAGTAGCTGGGACTATAGTACAATGTTTTTCTTTTTTTAAGAGAAGGGGTCTTGCTATGTTACCCAGGCTGGTCTTGAACTCCTGGCCTCAAGCGATCCTCCTGCCTCAGCCTCCCAAAGGACTAGGATTACAGGCGTGAGCCACCGTGCCCAGCCAGGGCCGCAGAATTAACATTGAGTAGCTCAGTGCCTGAGTCTGGGTGGCTCACTCTCTTTGTCCCCACATGGCTGTTTTCTAGGGGGCCTGGAGAGAGGTCGCTGACCAGGCTTGGTGGCATCTGCAAAGTCTGTCCCGTGGGAGGTCTGGATCTGTTACCCATCGTAGGCAGCTCCTAAGAATAATCCTGGGCCCGGGTGACTTCTGGTCTTGGAGCCATTTGTACCTGAATGCCATACGTTGGACAGGGGGTCCTTCTCCTGCACCACCGTTGGAAGGAGAGGCTGGGAGAGGAGGATGAAGCAGGGCTCTGTTGTGCTCCGGGGAGGGGGAGGTTGTGGGGGCAGAATAAGGGACTCCTTGTACCTGACTGCTTCTACCTCCCAGGAGGGAAATGATGTTGTTGGTTTGGCAAACGCTGCCTGAGCCTGGCCCTACTTTTGAAAACACAGGCAGCGGAATGCCTGTATTTTCATCGGGGGCTCCGTGTTAACGGGGCCAAGGAGGGGAGAGTCTGTAGCTACGAAACGTATCATTTCCAGGACCGTAAACAGGGTATGGAGTGTGAGGCATCTGCCTTGAGTGTCCCAAAACCCTCAGTCATTGAGATAGGTAATATTTTAGCACACTGTTTCAGAAAATCTAAATCAATGTGCAAAAAGAAACAAAAAATTCCATGATGAGCAAAAATAGCAAGATTTTAAATAAAGAGACCTGAGCCTGCTGGGCTAGGCCCTGCCTCACGGGCTTCCCCTGATCTGGCCCTGGGAGTTTCCTGGTTGTGATGATGTAGCTCCTCCTACTGCCGTCTCTACTTTTTTTTTTTTTTTTTAAATTTTTAGAGTTGGGGTCTTGCTCTGTTGCCCAGGCTAGAATGCATTGGTGCAATCACAACTCACTGTAGTCTTGACTCTCTGGGCTCAAGTGATCCTCCTGCCTCAGCCTCCTGAGTAGCTGGGACTATAGGTGCATGCCACTGTGCCCAGCTAGTTTATTTATTATTTTTTTGTAGAGATGGGGTCTCACTATGGTGCCCAGTCTAGTCTTTAACTCCTGGTCTCAAGTGATCCTCCACCTTGGCCTCCTGAAGTGTTGGAATCAAAGGTGGGAGCCACTGCATCTGGCCCAAATGCTCTTCTCTTATCTGAACATTCTCTACCTGGACCCCAGCCTCAAAGGGATGTGTCTGTCCCCCTGTCCTGGACAGGGACTAGGTTTGAGGCAGGGGATGTGCCTGATTCATTTGAGACTCTGGTCAGTCCCTTAGAGATGTCACTGGCAAGGGATGGGTCTGATAGAGTTGCTGATAAAACAGTATGTCCATATCTTAACCCCCTCCACCGACTTTTGAATGTGACCTTATTTGGAAAATAGGTTCTTTGCAGGTGTAATTAGTTAAGATGAGGTCATCAGCGTGGGACCTAGTTCCACATGGATAGTGTCCTTCTAAAAAGAGGAGACAGGGTCAGGTGTAGTGGCTCACACCTGTGGTGCCAGCACTTTGGGAGGTCAAGGTGAGAGGATCGCTTGAGCCCAGGAGTTCAAGACTAGCCGGGCAACATAGGGAGATTCCATCTCTACCAAAAAAATTTTTAACCAGCCTGGCCAACATGGTGAAAAAACCCCATCTCTACTAAAAATACAAAAATTAGCTGGGCATGGTGGCAAGGCACCTGTAATCCCAGCGACTCAGGAGGCTGAGACACGAGAATCGCTTGATCCTGGGAGGTGGGGGTTATACTGAGCTGAGATGACGCCAATTAACTTGAGCCAAGATGGTGCCACTACCCTCCAGCCTGGGTGACAGAGACTCTGTCTCAAAAAATATAAAATAAAATAAAATAAAATAAAATAAAATAAAATAAAACGTAGCTGGGTGTGGTGGTGCATGCCTATAGTCTCAGGCACTTGAGAGACTGAGGCAGGAGGATGGGAGCCTGAGAGGTCGAGGCTGCAGTGAACCACGGCTGTGCCACTGCACTCCAGCCTGAGCAACAGAGCAAGAGCCTGTCTCAAAAAAAAAAAAAAAAAAAAAGAGGAGGAGACAGGACTGAGAGATGAGAGATGGAGACACAGAGGGAAGAAGTCCATGTGAAGAGGGAGATAGGGACTGGAGTGATGTGGCCAAAAGCCAAGGAAAGCCTGGACCCCCAGAAGCTGGAAGAGGCAAGGAAGGGTCCTCCCTTGGAGCCTCTGGAGGCAGCACAGCTCTGCTGACACTTTGACTTTAGACTTCCAGCTTCCAGAATCGTAAGATAATAGATTCCTGTGGTTTTAAGAACTCCACCTCCTGGGTTCAAACGATTCTCCTGCCTCAGCCTCCCAAGTAGCTGGAATTATAGGCACCCGCCACTATGCCTGGCTAATTTTTGTAGTTTTAGTAGAGATGGGGTTTTGCCATGTTGGCCAGGCTGGTTAAAAATTTTTTTGTAGAGATGGAATCTTTTTTTTTTGGGACAGAGTCTTGGTCTGTCACCCAGGCTGGAGTGCAGTGGCGCGATCTCCGCTCACTGCAACCTCCGCCTCCCAGGTTCAAGTGATTCTCCTGTCTCAGCCTCCCGAGTAGCTGGGATTACAGGTATCCGCCACCATGCCTGGCTAATTTTTGTATTTTCAGTAGAGACGAGGTTTCACCATGTTGGCCAGGCTGGTCTCCCAACTCCTGACCTCAGGTGATCTGCCTGCCTCGGCCTCTCAAAGTGCTGGGATTACAGGCGTGAGCCACTGTGCCCGGCCAAGATGGACTCTTTCTATGTTGCCCAGGCTGGTCTTAAACTCCTGGACTCAAGAGCCCACCTGGCTTGTAGTGATTCCTTAGGGGAGCCACAGGAAAGTAGTTCAGTACATGTCACGTGACTTCAGTGACTACAACTGGGTGACCCAGCATGAGGCGCCTTATTGACCTCCCTGTCTGCCTTCACGGTGCCCTGTGGACTGCGGGGATGAGTGTGGAAGGCTCAGAAGTGAGTTCAGAGCCTGGCAGCATCTGAGTCCCAGTTCCACACACTGTACTGCCCTTTGCAAGAACTTGCCAATCCTGTCTCTTGCTCCATTGCTTAGGCTGGAGTGCAGTGACACGATCACAGCTCACTGCAGCCTCGACCTCCTAGGCTCAAGGGATCCTCCTGCCTCAGCCTCCTGAGTAGCTAGGGCCACAGGCATGCCCCACCATGCCCGGTCCCCATCTCTATTTTCTAGACACAGGCCCATAATCCTTTGCTGAAAACTCCTGGTGGATGTGCCTCAAGTGTACAAATTAATCACATGTGTTGATGTTTTCACAGTGAGGTGTTCGTGCATTTTGCACACACAAGCTTGGGTTTTGTGGTCAAGTGAAATTGAACAGACACAAGTTCTCTGGACAAGGCCTGGCGTGGTGGCACACGCCTGTAATCCCAGTACTCTGGGATGCCGAGGCGGGAGGATCCCTTGAGCTCAAGAGTTCGAGACCAGCCTGGACAACGTGACGAAACCCTGTTGCTACAAGGAAATAGAAAAATTAGCCGGGCATGGTGGTGTGACCCTGTAGTCGCAACTACTGGAGAGGCTCACGTCGGGGGATCACTTGAGCCCAGGAGGTCGAGGCTGCAGTGAGCTATGATTGCACCACTACACTCCGGCCTGGGTGACAGAGTGAGACCCTATCTCAAAAATAAAAAGGAGTTTTTGGGAAAGTCTGGATTTGGGGTAAGGCTCTGGGGGCTGCAGAACCCGACCCAGTGCCCATGTGCAGATGTGCCGGGAGGGACGGGGTGTGGACACTCACTTGCTCTCCTCGTCCAGCAGGTAGAAGAGGCCCGTGGGCTTCTTGCTGATGAGATGGATGCAGCCGACATTGTCTGTGTAGCCGATGTTGTGCCACGTGATCCCCTCGCCCTGATACTCCTCCTGCAGGGGTGATGTGGGGTCAGTACGTTTCTTATCTCCCAGATATGTAATATCTACATAACATGTATTGCGTACAGGTCGAGTATCCCTAATCCGAAAGTCTGAAATGCTTCAAAATCGGAAGCTTTTTAAATTGATGCGTGGCTTACAATTAACTCTAATAGGGCAGGGCACGGTGGCTCACGCCTGTAATCCCAGCACTTTGGGAGGCCAAGGCGGGTCGATCACCTGAGGTCAGGAGTTTGAGAACAGCTTGACCAACAGAGTGAAACCCCATGTCTACTAAAGACACAAAATTAGCCAGGCACAGTGGCACATGCCTGTAATCCCAGCTACTAGGGAGGCTGAGGCAGGAGAATCACTTGAACCCGGGAGGTGGAGGTTGCAGTGAGCCAAGATTGCGCCATTGGTCCTACTCCAGCCTGGGCAACAAGGCTGTCTCAAAAAAAAAAAAAAAAAAGCTCTAATAATACACTTAATTTAATACTATATATCCAAAATGTGATCATGTTAACATGTAATTGACATAAAAAGTAACTGAGAGGCTGAGGTGGGAGGATCGCTTGAGGCCGGGAGCTCAAGACCAGCCTGGACAACATAGCAAGATCCTGTCTATGCAAAAAACAAAATACAGGCCGGGCATGGTGGCTCACACCTGTAATCCCAACACTTTGGGAGGCCGAGACGGGCAGATCATGAGGTCAGGAGATTGAGACCATCCTGGCTAACACGGTGAAACCCTGTCTCTACTAAAAATACAAAAAAAACTAGCCAGGCGTAGTGGCGGGCGCCTGTAGTCCCAGCTACTCAGGAGGCTGAGGCAGGAGAATGGTGTGAACCCGGGAGGCGGAGCTTGCAGTAAGCCGAGATCGCACCACTGTACTCCAGCCTGGGCGGCTGAGCAAGACTCCATCTCAAAAAAAAAAAGAAAAAATAAACAAAAAAAATATAAAACATAAAAAAAAAACTAGCCAGGTGTAGTGGCACATACCAGTAGTCCTAGGTACTTGGGAGGCTGAGGCGGGAGGATGGCTTGAGCCCAGGAATTTGAGAACAGCCTGGGCAATATAGCAAGACTCCATCCCCCCCCAAAAAAAAAATCCAACACTTTTGGACTGCCAATGTTATGTGATGCTCAAATACAATGCTCATTGAAGCATTTCAGATTTTGGGTTTTCAGATTTGGGATGTTCAACCAGTAAGTATAATACAAATATTGAAAAATCTGAAAAAATCCCAAACCTGAGACACTTCTGGTCCCAAGCAGTTTGGATAAGGGATCCCCACGCTGTAGGAATGTATTTGTGTATCAATAGGCATGTTTACATGTAAATGTATCTGCATGCATGTATCCTTTGCAGCACTACGCATAATAGCAGAGAAATGGAAGTAACCTAAATGCCCATTAATGGATTGAGAAAATGTGGTGCATATACATCGAGGAATACTACCCAGCCATAAAAAAGGAAAGAGATCATGTCCTTTGCAGGAACATGGATGGAGCTGGAGGCCATTATCCTTAGCACACTAACGCAGGAACAGAAAACCAAATATTGCATGTTCTCGTTTATAAGAGGGAACCAAATGATGAGAACACATGGACACACAGAGGGGAATAACACACACTGGGGCCTATTGGGGGTGAAGGGTGGGAGGAGGGAGAGGATCAGGAAAAATAACTAATGGGTACTAGGCTTAACACCTGCGTGATGAAATAATCTGTGCAACAAATCCCCATGACACAAGTTCACCTACATAACAAACCTGCACATGTACCCCTGAACTTAAAAGTGAAAAAAATATACATAAATATATCAATAACAAAATGCATATGAGTACATCAATATGAATACATTAATAGTTATATAAACTTACTAGATAAACGAATGATTGTAAACAGGAAACAAGAATGCACATTCTCAAATACTGACCACAGCTTGGTGCTTTAAATATCACACTTAAGGGCTGGGCGTGGTGGCTCACGTCTGTAATCCCAGCACTTTGAGAGGCTGAGGCGGGCAGATCACCTGAGGTCAGGAGTTCAAGACCAGCCTGGCCAACATGGTGAAAACCTGTCTCTACTAAAAATACAAAAATTAGCCAGGCGTGGTGGCGCATGCCTGTGATCCCAGCTACTGGAAAGGCTGAGGCAGGAGAATTGCTAGAACCTGGGAGGTGGAGATCGCATTGAACTGAGATTGCACCATTGCACTCCAGCCTGGGTGACAGGGCAAGACTCTGTCTCATAAAAAAAAAAAAAAAAAAGAAAAAAAAAATCACACTTTAAACCATCTAGAGGTTGGCAAACTTTCTCTGTAATGGGCCAGATAGCACCTTATGAACCAGAAACTGTCTGCTGCAACTAACAGTCGTGATGTGAAAACAGCCACAGATGATAATGTAAACCAATGCCAATAAACCTTTATTTATAAAGACAATTTGTGGGACTAGATTTGACCCATAGGCTGTGGTTTGCTGGCCCCTGCTCCAGAGCTATGTTGTCCAACAGGAATCTTCACATTTTCTTTTTTTCTTTTAAGAGATAGGGTCTCACAGTGTTGCCTACAATGGAGAGCAGTAGTGCAATCATAGCTCACTGTAGCCTCAAACTCCTGGGTTCGAGTGATCCACCTGCCTCAGCCTCCCCAGTAGCTAGGACTACAGGCATGTGCCACTATGTCTGGTTAATAAAAAAATTTTTTGGCCGGGTGCGGTGGCTCATGCCTGTAATCCCAGCACTTTGGGAGGCCGAGGCGGGCGGATCACAGGGTCAGAAGATTGAGACCATCCTGGCTAACGCAGTGAAACCCTCTCTCTACTAAAAATAAAAAAATCAGCCAGACGTGGTGGTGGGCGCCTGTAGTCCCAGCTACTCAGGAGGCTGAGGCAGGACAATGGCGTGAACCCAGGAGGCGGAGCTTGCAGTGAGCCGAATTTGCGCCACTGCACTCCAGCCTGGGCGACAGAGCGAGACTCCATCTCAAAAAATTAAATAAAATAAAAATAAAATAAATAAAAAATAAAATAAAATAAAATTTTTTGGCAGAAACTCTGTCTCAATTTTTTTTTTTAAGACACAGGGTCTTGCTCTGTTGCCCAGGATGGAGTACAGTGGTGTGACCATAGGTCACTGCAGCCTTGAACTCCTGACCTCAAGCAATCCTCTTACTTTGGCTTCCCAAAGCACTGGTATTGTTAGCATTAGCCACGATGCCCAGCCTCAAATTTTCTAATAATCACATGTAAAAAGTAAAAGAAAAGGTGAAATTAATTTTTCTTTTTTTTTGAGACAGGGTCTCGTTCTGTCACCCAGGCTGGAGTACAGTGGCACAACTGTAGCTCATTGCGGCCTCGACCTCCTGGGCTCAAGTAATCCTCCCACCTCAGCCTCCTCAGTAGCTACAGATATGTGCCTCTGTGTATAGCTCAAAATTAACTTTAATAATACACTTAATTTAACCCTGTATATCTAAAATGTGATCACGTTAACGTGTAATTGACATAAAAAATGACTGAGAGGCCAATGTAGGAGGATCACTTGAGGCCAGGAGTTCAGGACCAGCCTGGGCAACATAGCAAGACCCTGTCTCTACAAAAAATAAAACCAAAAAACTAGCTGGGTGTGGTGGCGTGCAACTATAGTCTCAGCTACTTGGGAGGCTGTGGTGGTAGGATCATCTAAACCTCAGTGTTCAAGGCTGCAGTGAGCTACTGAGACAGTGTATGTTCTTTTTTCTCACATGCTAAGTCTTCACAATTTAGTGTGTATGTCACCCTTCCTGCACAACTTAATTCTGACCAGCTACACTCCTAATGATTCACGCCAAAAAGCTTAATAGAAAAATCAGCTGGATATTTACATAAGCCTGCCAGTTTCATTTTCCCATCAGAATCATCAATGTGAAGGAGAAGACATGAATAAGGATGGTTGACTATTTAGCTGTGAAAAGACACGTCAGGGCCGGGCGCGGTGCCTCACTCCTGTAATCCCAGCACTTTGGGGAGGCCAAGGTGGGCAGATCGCCCGAAATCAGGAGTTTGAGATCAGCCTGGCCAGCAGGGTGAAACCCCATCGCTACTAAAAACACAAAAAAATTAGCCGGGCATGGTGGCACGTGCCTGTAGTCCCAGCTACTTGGGAGGCTGAGGCAGGAGAATTGCTTGAACCAGGGAGGCAGAGGTTGCAGTAAGCCAAGATCGTGCCACTGCACTCCAGCCTGGGTGACAAGAGACAGACTCCATCTCAAAAAAAAAAAAAAAAAAAGACACATCAGATAGGTTATCAATGTCTTTGAGCTAAGCAAATCCTTAAAAGGCAGCCCAGTTTCTCTCTCATCAAAAAGATTTTCTGTTTGGACAGAGAAGCCCCCAAATGAACTATGGCTCAAAACATCCCTGACATTTGCCTCATCCCAGGCTGGGTGGGTTTTCTTAAATTTTCTTTCTGACTGAGAAAAATTCTGCGGCAAGTTCACCAATGATCTGGGCCTCCAGGGAGATTCCGGTTCCAGCTCATTCTATTTTCCCTTTGGGCTGGGTGTGCAACAACATGGTATTTCCTTATAAAATGCTGCAGCTGTTATGGAAAACAGTATGGTGGTTCTTCAAAAAAGTTAAAAACAGAATTACCATAGGATCCAGCAAGTCCACTTCTGGGTATATACCCGAAAGAATTGAAAGCAGTGTCTTGAAGAGATATTTGCACACCCATGTTCAAAAAAGCATTATGCACAATAGCCAAAAGCTGGAAGCAACCCAAGTGTCTACTGAAGGATGGATGAACAAAATGTGGTACATCCAGAAAATGGAATATCACTCAGCCTTGAAAAAGAAGGAAATTCTGACACATGCTACCATGTGGATGACCCATGAGGACTTTATACTATGTGAAATAAGCCGGTCACTGGCCGGGCGCAGTGGCTCAAGCCTGTAATCCCAGCACTTTGGGAGGCCAAGATGGGCGGATCACGAGGTCAGGAGATCGAGACCATCCTGGCTGACACGGTGAAACCCCGTCTCTACTAAAAAATACAAAAACTTAGCCGGGCGAGGTGGCGGGCGCCTGTAGTCCCAGCTACTCGGGAGGCTGAGGCAGGAGAATGGCGTAAACCCGGGAGGTGGAGCTTGCAGTGAGCTGAGATCCGGCCACTGCACTCCAGCCTGGGCGACAGAGCGAGACTCCGTCTCAAAAAAAAAAAAAAAAAAAAAGAAATAAGCCGGTCACAAAAACACAAATAATGTCTAATTTCACTTACATGAGGCACTTAGTGAAAAATGACAGAGACAGAAAGTAGAATGGGCCAGGCACAGTGGCTCACAACTGTAATCCCAAGTACTTTGGGAGACTGAGGTGGGCAGATTGCTTGTGCTCAGGAGTTCGAGACTAGCCTGGGCAACATGGCAAAACCTTGTCTCTACAAAAAATACAAAAATTAGCCAGGCATGGTGGTGTGCACCTGTGGTTTCAGCTACTCGGGAGGCCGAGGAAGGAGGATCACTTGAGCCTAGGAGTTTGAGGCTACAGTAGGCTATGATTATACCACTCTAGCTGGGTGACAGAGCAAGACCCTGTCTCAAAAAAAAAAAAAAAAAAGTGGAATAGTGAGTTCAGGGCTTGCAGGAGAGGGAATGGGGAATGAGTGTTTCATGGGGACAGAGTCTCAGTTTGGCAAAATGAAAGAGTTCTGGAGATATATGGTGGTGGTGTTTGCATAACTGCGAATGTGTGAATGCACTTATCGCCGCTGAACTGAATATTTACGAATGGTTAAGATGGTAAATTTCACGTGATGTCTGGTTTACCAAGTTCAAAAAATTGACAAGAAAGCCCTTTCCGCACCTGCTCCAGCTTGAAGATGTGCTGGTTGAAGTAATACTGTAGCTGCTCATTGGCGTAGTTGATACAGAACTGCTCGAAGCTGTTCCTCTCGAAGTCTTCAAATCCGAAGATGTCCAGGACCCCGATGGACAGGCACTGGGAGAGACAGAGAAAATGGTCACTGCCCGCAGGTGCCCTCCGTGGGAGCCAGCCTTCATGAGAGGGGCTGGCTCTACAGGCTGTGACCTGTTAGGTCCTGAGTCCCCGCTGCTCGGCAGAACACTCTGCCATTACCAGCATGGAATCCATACTTTTTTTTTTGAGGCAGGGTCTTGCTCTGTTGCCCAGGTTGGAGTGCAGTGGCGCCACCACAGCTCACTGCAGCCTTGACCTCCTGGGCTCAAGCAATCCTTCTGCCTCAGCCTCCTGAGTAGCTGGGACCACAGGTGCATGTCAGAATCTGTCGTTTTTGAATAAGGGGCCCTGTTTTCATTCTGCCCTGGGCCTGAATTTTGTAGCCTGTCCTGTTTCCTGGTCCTGCCTGTTGGGGGAAACAGCCTCTTGACTACAGATGCCTCGGCTCCGGATGTTCTGGGTTGCCCACCAAGGATGTTGGTAGTGAGGATGTGGCCTCCCCTGACCTGGCTTGAGGGAGGAAATGGGGGCACTTACCGAGACTGCCTCTTCCACGTCCTTCTTGTTGAGGAGTGCGTGGTTGATCCGCAGCACAATCCAGTCGAACAGGGCACTGTACAGAGACTTGGCCATGGAGTCGCGGGCAGTGATGGCCTATGGACACAGAGCGGGTGGCTCACCTCCAGCACGGCAGGCCCTGCACTGGAGTCTTGCTCTGTCGCCCAGGCTGGAGTGCAGTGGCACGATCTCGGCTCATTGCAGCCTCCACCTCCTGGGTCAAGCGATTCTCCTGTCTCAGCCTCCCAGGTAGCTGAGATTACAGGTACGCACCACCATACCTAGCTAATTTTTGTATTTTTACTAGAGACGGAGTTTCACTATGTTGGCCAGGCTGGTCTCAAACTCTGACCTTAGGTGATCTGCCTGCCTTAGCCTCCCAAAGTCCTGGGATTACAGGCATGAGCCACTGTGCCTGGCCAAGATGGCCCTTGGTATATATATTTTTTTGACATAGGGTCTCACTGTGTTGTCCAGGCTGAAGTGCACTAGTACAATCTTGGCTCACTGCAAACTCCACTTCCTGGGCTCAAGTGATCTTCCTGCCTCAGCCTCCTGTGTAGCTCGGGCTACAGGCGCACAACACCACACCTGGTTAATTTTCACTTTTTTTTTTTTTTTGAGGTGGAGTCTTGTTCTGTCACCCAGGCTGAAGTATAGTGACATAGTCTTGGCTCACTGCAACCTCTGCCTCCTGAGTTCAAGCGGTTCTCCAGCCTCAGCCTTCTGAGTAGCTGGGATTACAGGTACACACCACCATGCCTGGCTAATTTTTGTACTTTTAGCAGAAAGGGGTTTCGCCATGTTGGCCAGGTTGGTCTCGAACTCATGGCCTCAAGTGATCTGCCCACCTCAGCCTCCAAAAGTGATGGGATTACAGGCATGAGCCACCGTGCCTGGCCTTAATTTTTAATTTTATTGTGGAGACGGGGGTCTCACTATGTTGCCAAGGCTGGACTCGAACTCCTGGGCTCAAGCAATCCTTATGCCTTGGCCTCCCTAAGTGTTGGGATTACAGGCGTGAGCCACTGCAACCAGCCAAGGTGGTCTCTGTCAATACTCAACTCATCCAACACACACCTTTCACCTTGTCCTGGAGGACGTGCCTGCACACTGAGGCGTTAACAGACCCAGTGGCCTCTGGAATGGCCACGGAGGCCTTTCCATACACTCCTCAGAGCAACCAAAATTGCTGCTGAGTGAGGAACTTGGGCTCAGGGAGGGGGTGGGGTGTGCAATTGTGGTAGAACCAGCAAGGAGGGTCTAACTAACTTCAGGCCCCTTGTTCTTTCAGGGGCACCATGTGGCTATCACCGTGTGCATCAAAGCTCTTTTGTGGCCGGGCGTGGTGGCTCATGCCTGTAATGCCAGTACTTTGAGAGCCAAGGCAGGTGGATACCCCGTCTCTACAAAAATGCAAAAAAAAAAAACAAAAAACAAAAAAAAAATCAGTCTGGGCACAGTGGCTCAAGCCGGTAATCCCAGCATTTTGGGAGGCCGAGGCGGGTGGATCACCTGAGGTCAGGAGTTCGAGACCAGCCTGACCAGCATGGTGAAACCCTGTCTCTACTAAAAATACAAAATTAAACGGGTGTGGTGGTACATGCCTGCAATCCCAGCTGCTCAGGAGGCTGAGGCAGGAGAACTGCTTGAACCCGGGAGGCGTAAGTTGCAGTGAGCCGAGATTGTGCCATCGCACCCCAGCCTGGGCAACAAGAGCGAAACTCTGTTTCAAAAATAAAATAAAAATAAAAATGCAAAAATAATTAGCCAGGCCTCGTGGTGCACACCTGTAATGCCAGCTACTCAGCAGGCTGAGGCATGAGAATCACTTGAACCTGGGAGGAGGAGGGTGTAGTGAGCCGAGATAGTCCCACTGCACTCCAGCCTGGGCGAGAGTGAGACGTTATCTCAAAAAAAAAAGCTCTTAAGGTCCAATCTATATAGAATAAATTGTCTTTTTTTTTTCACATATTCAGGTCGCAACTCTGACAGATGTATTCAGCGGCAGACAAGATCTATAATGTGTCCCCTTCGTTTTGCATTTCTTGGGTGTCAAGGAAATGGAGCTGCCTGGCGCCTTTGGCTCTGCATGGAGCTTCTTGGGGGCACCAGTGCTGCTCGGGTCTTGGGTGATGTGCAGCAACTTCCTGGCAACATCACGTGGTGTGCTGGACCCATGTGGGTTCAGAATGTCCCCTGTGCCTGTTTGAAATGCCACAGCAGCTTCCCATCGGGTGGGGGGCTAAAAATCCCCATCGTGACTAGGTACTTTCCTATTGTTAAACAAGCTGCAAGTGATCCTGCTCTGGAGATGTAAAAATGCAAGAGAAATACAGCACAGAGAAAACATCCAGGCTGGGGCAAAGACCAGAGGGAGGCACCTTAACAAGGTTTAGAGTCACAGGCTTGAGACTTACAGGCTGGGAGTTACATAAGGGTAGTCAGTGCCATGTTCCAGAGTCCAGGGATGAGCAAATTTTATTCTGGAGGGGACCAGGGAGTCATTATTTTTGGCTCTGGGGCCTGATGTTCTCTGTCGCAACTGCTCTGCTTAGCTGCTATGGCCCCAAAGCAGTCTTAGGTGGTATGTAAATGAATGTGTATGGCCATGTGCCAATAAAACTTTATTAGCAAAACCAGGTGGAAGGCTGGATCTGGCCAACTATTGCTGGTGAGAATCAGCACACACACGGAACATATAGAAACATAGATATGAATGCATGTGGCTCAAGTTCTGGCCTGGGGGCCATGGTTTGTGTCCCAGGCTGGCCTGAACTCACATGACAATCAGAGGCGCTGCCTGGGTTCCATTCTAGCATTTCAGGGACAGGAACGGCCCACTCACACCAGCTCTTTCCAAAGACCATTCCCGCTTGGGTTTTGGGGTCTAGCACTCTGTGAGTGCCTGGGCAGCGCTCACCTCGCTGAGGCTGTAGGGAAGGATGAGCTTGTCGTTGACGGTCACTGTTTTTCTTTTGGTCAGAACCTCCACCAAGATTTCTCGCTTTACCTGTTTGGAGGTCAAGGAGAGGGAGAAGGAAAAGGGAGATGGAGGGCATATCAGGCATGTCCTGGTGTCACTGAGGCAAGGCCCGAGGCCTGAGGCAGCTGGGAGACGGACCCTCAGCAGCTAGGCCTGGAAGTGGGCCCTGAAGCCTGCCCACCCACCCACGATGTGCTGTTTTTTTTTTTTTTTTGAGACAGAGTCTCACTCTATTGCCCAGGCTGCAGTACAGTGGTGTGATCCTGGCTCACTGCAACCTCCGCCTCCTGGGTTCAAGCGATTCTCCTGCCTCAGTCTCCCCAGAAGCTGAGGTTACAGGCGCCTGCCACCATGCCCAGCTAATTTTTGTATTTTTTGTAGAGATGGGGTTTCTCCATGTTGGCCAGGTTGGTCTTGAACTCCTGACCTCAGGTGATCCGCCTGCCTGGGCCTCCCAAAGTGTTGGGATTACAGGCATGAGCCACTGCGCCTGGCCTGCGATGTTGTTTTATACTTGGCAGGTTTCAGAATTCCCACATAGCATGGGCTTGCCGGATGCTCACTCCGTGGCCCGGGTATGTGCGCGCACAGGCCTTATGTGAGTGTGAGCCGTGGGTCCAGGTGGCGCCCGGTGACCAGCACTCACTGCTTTGCCTGTTGGAGCTGGTGGCTCCCATCCATTGCACAGGGGCTGGGCTTAGACCTTACCCAGACAGCCGACACGCTCATCCCTCCCCCAACTGCCAAGCTACCTGAGCTGGTGGTCTCTGCCCACCAGCAGCAAGAGTGGGGAATAAGCAGGGGCCTTCTCTCTCTCTTTTTTTTTTATATGGAGTCTTGCTCTGTTGTCCAGGCTGGAGTGCAGTGGCGCAATCTTGGCTCACTGCAACTTCTGCTTCCCGAGTTCAAGTGATTCTCCTGTCTCAGCCCCCTGAATAGCTGGGACTACGGTGTGCGCCACCATGCCCAATTAATTTTTGTATTTTTAGTAGGGATAGGGTTTCTCCATACTGGTCAGGTTTTGGGGCCTGACGTTCTCAAACTGGTCTCGAAGTCCTGACCTCAGATAATCCACCTGCCTCAGCCTCCCAAAGTGCTGGCATTACAGGCGTGAGCCATCGTGCCCGGCTGGCAGGGGTTTTCTCTGAATATCCCAGCAGATGCTCACATATTCCCAAGAACTCAACAGAAGCTGGGGCTCCTGTACCAAGAATGGAACGCTAAGCATAAATGGATTAAAACACAAAAGACTGGGGTAGGGTTCCTCGGCCTCACTGCCTTTTGCACTTGGGGCTGGATAATTCTCTGCCGGGGGGGGGGGGCTGTCCTGTGCACTGCGGGGTGTTGAGCAGCATCCATGGCCTCTACCTAGCAGATGCCAGGAGCAACCCAGAGTATGGCAACCAGAAAGGTCTCCAGACATTGCCCAGTGTGTCCTGGGGGCACAACTGCCCCTGGCTGAGAACCAGTGGAGGAGGAAGGGATGGCAGGTCCAATGAGAAAACAATCAAACCAGAAGTTTTTGTTTTTTAAGAGACGGGGCCTTACTCTGTCACTCACCCCAGCTGGAGTGCAGTGGCACGATCACAGCTCACTGCAGCAATGAACTCCTAGGCTCAAGTAATCTTCCTGCTTGGCCCCCTGGGTAGCTGGGATTACAGGAGCACACCATCAACACCTGCACGCAGCCCCAAGCTGTAGTTTTTTTCTTTTTTTTTTTTTTTTAGACAGAGTGTTGCTCAGTCGCTCAGATTGGAGTGCAGTGGCACAATCTTGGCTCACTGCAGCCTCTGCCTCCCAAGTTCAAGTGATTCTCGTGCCTCTGCCTCCCGAGTACCTTAGACTACAGGCACGTACCACCATGCCTGGCTAATTTCTTTTGGTATTTTTAGTAGAGATGGGGTTTCACCATGTTAGCCAATCTGGTATTGAACCCCCAACCTCAGTTGATCCTCCCACCTCGGCCTCCCAAAGGGCTGGGACTACAGGTGTGAGCCATCGCACCTGGCCCCTGAGCTGTAGTTTCAAGAGAGGCTTTCACTTGAGGGTGGGAGGAGGAGATGCCCCCGTCCACAGAACTCATCAGAAATGAGGAAGCAACACTGTAGAGATGAGAGCGGAAGACGTAAGGTCCTGGTTGATGAAACCTCAGCCTACGTAGGAAGTTCTGGGTACGGTCCCTCGTATTGAGAGATAGCCAGCGGCCCTGAGTCAGGCCTGAGGAGGGACAGAGATGGCGATCAGTACCTTCAGAAGCTGCGACAGGGTGTCCAGCACCTCGGGCGGCCCGACCTCCAACCCTTCCTCTCGGCCTGTAGCTCTCTTCTTGTAAGTGACGTTGCCTAGGTACAGGATGGCCGAGAGGACGGCAAAAATCCTGGGAAAGAAAAGGCACTCACATTTGGGCAGTTTCTACATTCCTAGGACATCAGATACTTCCAGGGAACTGGGCTGAATCCATAAAACCAGCAAATTTTGTTCAGAACGCATGAAGTTGGAAAAATATCTAAGGCCTCTGTTGAAGACTGCCTCTGTGGAATGTGACTTTGCAGACAGTTACCTTCTTCCTGAGATTTGATCTGGCTCTGTCGCCCAGGCTGGAGTGCAGTGACACAATCATAGTTCACTGTAACCTCCAACTCCTGGGCTCAAGTGATTCTACTGCCTCAGCCTCCTTAGTAGCTGGTACTACAGGCCACTACATTTGGCTAATTTAAAACCATATTTTTAAAGGGATGGGGTCTTGCTATGTTGCCCAGGCTGGTCTCAAACTCCTGGTCTCAAGTGATCCTCTTGCCTTGGCCTCCTGAATACCTGGGATTATTGGCATGAGCCACTGCACCTGGCTAGACAGCTATTTTCTCTTTTTATGAAGCAGGGTCTCACTCTTGTCACCCACGCCGGAGTGCAGTGGCACAATCATGGCTCACTGCAGCCTCAACCTCCCTTGGCTCAGGCGAGCCTCCTACCTTAGCCTCTTGGGTAGCTGGAACTATAGGTTTGCACCACCATGCCTGGCTAGTGAAACTGTTTAAAAAAAAAAAAATGTGTACAGATCCCTCTAACTAGCCTCCAGACCAAGAAATAGAACATTCCAAGTCCTGGATCCTGGAGCCCCCTTGACCTCCCCTTGGTTCAGGTGAGTCCT